TGATGTCTTATGGATTTGCTTATAGATAAGGGTTTATCCCTTATAGATAAGGGATATCTGTTTGTAACCTTATGGGGGTGAAGAGCTACCAAACTTGTTTATACATGTTACGATGAAGATTGGAAGTATCTTCTTTATATATTTCTTTTCTTTTTCTTCATTTCACTTTCCTTTTTTTCTATCTTCTTTTTTTTTACTTTTTCTCTCTTTGCACTTTTTACTTTTGTTTCTCTCTCCAAGTTTAATTTGTATTAGTTTTAATTGTTTTAATTAAATTTTTTTATAAAAATATAAAGAAAAAATATAAAAGTCATAAAAAATAATTGGAAAGATTTTTCCACAAGACAATCCCTTCTTATGTGAAACTGTCTTGCATTGCTTGAATTTAGAGGCTTATACATAGTCAGAAGTACAAAAACTGTTTCGAAAATGCACCATCAGTACCACCACACTTGTACCTCAAAACAACCTTATAAAGACTGACAATGGATTGTTGACTCACTATGAAAAAAAATCCCTCTTGAAAATGGAAAGAGGAGGGAAGTACCATGGAGGAAAGTCTACTGCAGGTCCCACTTGCATGCCCTGGTTGGTTAGTGCTTGTCGCAACCAGATAAACTTTTTCCTAGCTTTGTTACCTCTAAGTCTTTCACTGAACCTGGAAAATATTACTGAATCAAGCTTAGCGTTTACTTCAGTATTTCCTAAACACACCCTAGTTCTGATGTGCCAGTTTACCAAATAATGCGGCCAAGGAAATCATATCTCCATTCGCCCGGCCATTCCTTCTCCTGACCAGTCTGCAAAAGTCGCAAAGCATCTTCCCTTTCCTGAATGACCTGGTCCATTCTTTCCATGGATTTTTCTACCTAAAGGGTATAAAATAGAAGTGGTGTGTTCAACAGGTGGAGCTCAGGTGTACTCTCAACATCATTCAAGATGCATCAGGGTTACCTAGTCTCATAACAAGGTCTACTAGTTATAGGTTAGATTCATACATTGCAGTAAGGTTTTGCCTTAATATAAGGTGTGAAACCAGCCAAATTGCTCTTTACAATTGAAATAATACCTTGCTTGAATTCCTATCTAAGTAACACCCACTGAAATAGACAGAGACAGGAAATGTAAATAAATACTTCTCAGTAGAGTTTTGTCTTTTTTTTTCACCATTGGCCTCTCATTTGCAGATCTATTCACTAACTTTATACCCTCCCATAAATATCAGACTTCATTTTTCTATCCTGAAATCTTGCTTCACTTGTTTCCTCAATATGTAACTTATACTGAGCAAACTAGAAATAAGTAATAGGAAGTCATAAAGACATGACATTTTGGACAGGGGTCCATGCAGCATTCCTCTCTATCATCATGAACTGAATCTAAGTCTCTGCCTGGATCAAGTATTTTCGGCAAGGAGCAGCTCAGGAATTAATATAGTCTCTGTGACTATAGTCTATGACTTGCAGGTTCTTCAGAGCACCAGATTACCATATCTGACACTAGAAGTATCTTCTCTGATGACAAACTACAAGGGCAAATTAATAGAGGATAAGAAGGGACTTCTTGGAATTATGAACATTTAACAGCTTCCTCCAGCTCATCTCACCCTCATAAGCAAATCACATAAACAGTCTTGGGCAAGCCTGTTAATACTGTATCTGTAACAAAGAACATGTCATTGCCAGTGACTTTCTTAACGCTAACTTACCTTTTCCAATCTTTCTGGGCTTGGCATTGGCAAGGCCTGCCGTTTTGCTTCTTGTTCTAATGTTAAAAGCATATTTCGCTCTTTTAGCAGGACATACCTGAGAGAGAGAATCTATTAGCAAGTAACATTACATTGTTAGCCAGGATAGTGATTCTCAATAAGACAACCAGACAGATTAAGTAGTTAAAACTTATAATAAGGATTAAATATAATACTAGGATCCCTGAAACACATAAATATCCTTCTTGGAAAAATGTTTTTTGTTGTTTCTGTCATTGTGGAACCCAATTTTTCTTTTTTGACTGAGTTGTCAAATGGACACAAGATCCAAAAGTTTGAGAATCACTCAGCTCAGTTTCATCTTGGCGCTTTTTTAGTGAGCTACAACTGATCACACATTTTAGTTAAGTGCAAATAAAACAGTACTGCTATATGTATACAGTATTAGTAGTTATAATATCAATATAGTCATAATTATATTAATCACACTGATAAGAGAATTGTTCTTGTTAGATATAGCCAAAATTCTTGTATGTTCATCACAATATGTGAAATTCTGCTAGCTACCACCACCCACTGTTTTTCGGATATCACTCCCTGCTTGCATTGCTACAAAGATACAATGACAGTAGAAGCCACGCATGGCTGAATTCTCCTACCAGTCTAACTTTCAGATCTACCAGCCCTCTGCTGGCTTTAGCTTCTTCTTTTAGCCTCCTCTTTCCTTCCAGCCCACCACTTATTCTCTAAGCTTTCCTTCCATCATATTTTCACATCTCCTTTCTTCAATAATGTCTCCACCATTCATAATTTCCTTACCTTCCTGTCCTTTAGACTCTCTTCCTTTAGGTGCTTTTTGCTCTTTACATGCATTCCTTAGACATTCTTGCATCTCAGCACTTATCTTTCTTCACTCTTGTCCCTTTTCAACTTGAATACATCTGCAATTTATGCTTAGTTTTCCATGTTCGCTACCTTTTAAAAATATTTCCAATCTATTGTCCACTCTGAATCCTTCTTTTATACCTCTTGCCCTTCTCTTTCTTATCATTTATAACTTAAAATCTGTTTAAAATCCCAGCCAAACTGATAACCTTTATTGACATATTTATTTGTTACATTTAAATTATGCTGTTACTTCAGGAGATCAAGCCAATATACTTAGCACTTCCTCCTCCAAATTTTTCCCCCAACCACCCCATGACTTTGGTTGGTCTGAGAGATAGTATTCAACCCAAAGTCATCCAGTCACCCTCTGTGGCTGAGGGTGGACTTGGATTTCCCTGGTCGTAGTCCAACCCCTAAAGCACTACAGCACATAGACTCTCCATTTACTCTTCCTCATAGAATCTTGGCTATAAACTTTTAGTTTTCTGAATAACTAAAGACATGACAAGACCAAAAGGTTGGTTGTTACAAATGGAATCTAACATAGATTTTTGAAATGTGTACTAAGCATAAGCAATTCTTGAAATAGCTTGTCACAAGTCATACAAAGAAACACCCACCAAAGCTTATGCAAATCTCCACTGCTTTTGCCTCGAAGTTGTTCTACAGTCCAGGAATCTCCTGTGGAAGCCACAAAGCAAAGCAAAGAAAGAGCATCTTCCTGAAATTCTCATGATCTTAGACTACAGCAATTTCTATTCCATATTGATTAGGTGGAAATAGCTACTATTTTGGTAGCTATTCAAAGATTTAAAAGTTGTACTCTCTGGAATCTAAAATCCAATACTGCTTATATTTTACATCCCCTTCTTCTGCTAAATAAGGGATTATTTTCACTTTGCTGCTTTTCTATTGTTTTATTTATCTGTTCTTCATTATCTATATTTTAAAAGTCAGCCTATTGTCAGCTTCCCTGGATTTTTTCTTTTGAAAGGTAGCGTAACACTTTTTTCCCATTACGGAGTTCAGGATGATAGACAAATTTTCCCTCAAAGTCCACCTGGGCATGGATAGCCAAACAGTTATTTTAAAATTATTATTCTAATTTATTGCAAAAGGAAGCCTTGTTTTCTGGCAGCTGGAGCTACTCATTGATCATCACTAACTTTGTAGCTTTCATCAGAACCACCCAAAACAAATCAATAAAAATGCATTTACAAGATCCTCTTTGCGTGCAGGAGAACTTTAAAAATGGAAAACATTATAAAGTCAGGAAAAAGACAATAAAATTATTCAGGACAATATAGAACATTTTTATTCATGCATATGTAAATCTAAAACATAAAACACAAATGGCTGTAATCCATTCCTTGGTTTTTATTTAAAGGCAAAGATCTGTCAATCAGACTAATGGCTGAGATATCAACTTTTGAAAAAGACGGATTCTATGAGCAGCAATTTTTACAAATGGAGACTCAACATGTGACATACTGTTATTGAACCTCCTATAATACTATCTTGCTTTCTTATTTACAAGGGCATCTTACCCGACTTGACGTCCTTCTTTCCCCAGTTTTTGGGGTCATCAAAAAATTCCTCCAACCCATTTCGAGACCCAGATGTATGTAGCAACACGGAACAGGGACGAATCTTCAATTCTGTAGCCTTCTTTAGCCAATCACCGATGATCCCTCTGAACAGCAAAAGGCCAGAATTGTTTTAACAACATTGTAAGCGTACACAAAAATCAGATTCAGGCATTCAGGCATTTTTTCCCCTTCAGCATGTACATTCAAGGTATTTCTTTTGATAAAATAATACCTATTTTTAGGAGGACCAACTGCAATTTTGTCAGTTACTTGGCTTAAACACTATTAAAAGTAAATGTTCAGGATGCTTCACAGAAAGCTTTTACAGGATGTCTTACTTATTTAACTGAGGGAACCTGAATGGTTTTAAATAGAGGAACCAGAACCTGGCATTACCATTTTTTTTTTTTTAGCAAGCTCATACGTTCACGAGGTCTACATTATCAAGGCCTGTTTTCCAGACAAGGCTTCAATCCTATTGTATGCACATCCCCAGAAATACATCTCCTGGCCTGGGAGGCTCCTCTTCGCCACCATTCGCAGGGACACCCCTCCCCCTGCAAGGCCTCAAAGCCAGGCTGCTGCCTCGGCTCCTTTTCCCGCTCGACAGGACCCCACCTGGAGGCCGAAGCCACCGAACCGCCCCGACTCGCGCCGGTCACCCGGAGCAGCGTCGATAACTGTCTGCAAAACGCCGTCAGCGCCATGACGCCTCCGCCGTCTTCCCACAAGGCCCTTCCTGAGATTCGATGAAGCCCCTCTAGTCGTTCCTTCTCTGTGGTACCCTCTCACCGCCCACCGCTGCCCGGTGCAAATATGGCGGCTGCGCGGCTTCAGCCTTGAGAGTCGCTGGAAAGCACGACTGCGAGCGCTTCGCGGCTCGCAGCTTTGCCCGGTCCAGAGATGGCGGCCATGAGTCTCCTGCTCCGGACGGCGGCCCGCGCCGGAGTCCGGCGGGCGCTGACCGTCTCCGCGTGGCTCGGGCGCGCGCCGCTGCTAGGCCCGTCTGCCAGTCGTTCCGGAGTGATCGGTAGGGACGGGCTTGGGTGGCAGGAGACGCTCAGGGGCTTCCCGGCCAATTGACCTTGGAGGCGGACGGAGCGGGGAAGGAGGTCGAGATGCCCTGAAGGTGGCAGGGGAGCGTACTTCCGCCTAGAGCTTCACCTGTTGGGTTTCTGCCTGCCGTGCAGTAGGGTTGAAAACGGGGGAGCGGGACTAATAGTAATCTCAGAAACGAAAGTGGGAGCCTGAGCCAGAAGCCCACATTGATTGATTTACTGACTAGATTTCCACCTGCCTTTCCTTTAGGAGCTCCCATTTTTCCCCACAACAACCCTGTGAGGTAGGTTGGGCTGAGCTTCCGTGGCTCCTGAGTCCACGTCCAACAGCTCTTGAAAAATGCATTTTCTTTTGATGCTGTATTTAGATTATAAGGGGCTGCTGTTCCTGTCATTGTTTCTTTTTTAATGTATATTCTGAGTGAAGAAAAATGACATTCAAGGTGGCTAGTGAAAGACAGAATGAGAGAGAGAGAAAGAGAGAGAGAGAGAGAGAATCCTTCAAGCTGACCACATCAAGCACATTGAACTGCTGTACGGCCAAGG